GGGTAGAGGGGGGGTTAAAAAGGGAAAAAGGGGGGGGGGGGGGGCAGGCCTGTGGCTGCTGCAGGCCGAGGGCCAGAGCCATCACAGCTGCCCTGGGGCCCTTTGTGCCGGGGGCAGCAGGAGACGGAAACACCCCCGCTGGGCAGCAGAGCCCAGCCTGCCCCCTCCACACGGCTGCCCCAGCTGCTCTGGGCACAGGAGGTAGAGCGGGGGGGAGAGGAGGGAAGGGGACGTGGCCAGGGCAGATGCCACGCAAAGCCCCACGCTGAGGCAGATCGGGCGTGTCCTACCCACACTGGGAGGGGCGCCTGCTTCCCCCCTCTGGCTGATTCTGCCGAGTTGCTGAGCTGCCCAGGGCCAGTCCGTGGCCCGAGTCCCCAGACTCGGGGTGCTGTGTGGCCCCCCCACACTGATGGCCCCTTCTCAGGCCAGCCAGGCCTGTCCTGCCGCCCTGGGGATAACTGGGGCGGTGGGGCTCCAGGCTGAGACCTGCACTCCCTGTAACAAAGGGGGGAGGGGCAGTGGAGACAGCCCAGCCCAATCGCTCCCCAAGTCCCGGCGCTGCTATTAGCCTAATGGCCAGGGGGTCCCTGGGGAAGGGGCCGTGGGAGGAAATGAAATGGAAGGCCAGGCTGCAATCCGATTATCGAGCTCCCTCGTGCGCACTCTCCCCACTGCGTCTGCCTGACCCCGTTAACTCGATCCCATGCCAGCTGCTGCCACCCCCGCTGCACCGACCAGCTTGCAGGGCCTGACCGGCTCCCGCCTGGCTGCCCCGGCTTGGAGCTCACACTGGTGAGCTGCCCGGCTCTGCCCCAAGGCTGCCAGCTGGCTGGAGCGTGTGGGAGGGGGCAGACCAGTGCCATGGCGAAGGGCAACCGAGTAACTGTGCTGGGGGAGAGGGATAGAAATGAATAACGAGCCACTGCCCAGGACGCTCCCCTCGCCTCCCCAGGCAGATCTGAAACCCCTGTCTCCTGGCACACCGGGGACAAGCTCTGGGCAGGAGGCTCTATCCCGCCAGGATAATGGCAGTTCTCTGACACCGGGACGTTGGTGGGTCCCTGGGGAGGGGGGTGAGTCACAGATGCCAAGTGAGTGGTTCTGCCCCATGAAGCCCAATTCCTGCTAACACATCCCCATGCAGGAGCCTTAGTGTTATCCCCAGCTGGAGGGGGAAACTGAGGCACAAGGTGGGGCTGTGACTCACCCAGGATCAGGCAGTGAGTCAGGGCAGAGTCAAGAGTGGAACCCAGGCAGCCTGGGGCCCACCGGTGAGTATCGGCCACAGGCTGTGTCCAGGACCCCAGTCCCTGCACTTCACACGAGCCGCGTCGCCCATGGGGTGACGGGCGTTGCTGCCCAGGGGCAGGGAGATGCAGTGACATGTGCCCCATTGTGGGGGAGCTGTGACGGAGTGGGGAGTGTATTCACCTTGTCCTGTTGCATGTGAGTTCTACCGCCCTGCAGCAACTACAGATGTGTGCCTCAGTTTCCCTGGGCACTGCACCAATACCTAGATGGGGATGGAAACTTCGGTGCGATAGCTTCCCACCCATATGCAATGGCCGGTGCCTTTCGTTACCTGTGCCTGGGAGGGGGTATGACCAAGTGACACCTTTTACCTGGGAAACAGGACAAAGCCAAGGAAGGGCTGGGGCCAGGAGCTGGGTGTGAATCAGCCTTAGCTGGCTTGGGGTGCAGGGAGAGGTCAGGGCCATCTCTGGGTCCCCCCTCCCCAAGGCTTTTGGGTACTGAGCTAAGTCTGTTCTATGCTGCCCCTGTCGACGAATGAACCTTCCGCTCTAGCTGCCGGCTGAGTCACGTCTGGCTGGGGTGCCGGGCCCTGGGCCTCCCCGCCCCTCGGAGACAAAAGGAAGGAGGCATTCAGTGGCAGAGGGGGAGGCCCCGGAGAAAAAGGCAGAGAAGCCTGTAGTACCAGGAGCACTGGAAAGCTGGAGGCTTCACTCCGCAGACTTGTTCTGTATCCATAAGCAGTGAGGAGTCGGCTCAGCTGAAAAGGACAAGCCCCTGGAGTCAGGGAACCCTGCGCTACACATGCAGCAGCTGAAGGGGGACAGAACCAGCGGGGGAAAACCAGGCGGTGCTGGCGCCAAAGGTGGGTGACGTTCCCATTTGCCTGGTACCAGAGGTGCAGAGCAAGGCGTTTGGGGGGAATCCCGGCACCGGGCCTGCCTGCCCCTTTACAGACAGTATCTATGACTTGCTGGAGCTGTGCTTCTCTGGAGCACCCTGGGATCTCCTGGCTGCTGGTACCAGAGGAAGTTTTGCTTCCGTAGTACCAAGCCAAGAGGTTGATGCTTCTGACGTTGGAGCAGATTGGGTGGGGGAGGGAGGGGCACCCGCTCAAAAAGAACTTTGTGAGTTTGCATTAATTCTACCTGTCCATAGGAATGCCCTGTTACCAAACAGATAAGCTCTTGGTCCCAGAAACATCCATGGGCAAGGAGTTCCACAGCTTAATCACTGGCTTTAAATTTCCCATCGTTCAGTTTGACTCCCAAGGCTCTGCTGGCCCTGCTCCCATTAGCTTATTCACTAATGGTTTCAGCTTCTCTTAGGAAGGGGGTTATGCATTTCATAACTGCAACCTATTTCTCCTTCTTTCATTTGTTTAGCTAGATGTGTTTTATTATTGCTGTTTTCACTGGCCTACTCTCCCAGGAGAATTTTTTAAGAAAACAAGCCGCCTTTCTGGATTATGCAATTGTGAGCATCTGAGCAAAATATTCAACTCCTGACTCTTGCTCAACTTTGTTTTCAAAAACGTTCCTCTCATCCGTTTTGCTCACAAGTTGTTTTCAGCTTCAGGAAATTGGCCCTTTTAAAGCACCCAGAGTGTGTGTGTGTGTGTGTGTGTGTGGGGGGTATCTAAGCATGTACGCACTTGGCATGATGTGTATGTATATCAAGCCTGACTTGGATTCACAAAATCACAGAGAAGTTACACCAACACACCCCCACACCCCACTCTTGTAGTAGCCATTCCATCCCCGCCCCTGGCCTTGCATGACCTCCAACACAGCAGCTTTCCCTCCCCTTTTGTTTCCCTTGCCACCCTCTCTCCTTGCACCACTGTCCCAGCAAAGCATTATCCACGGCCACCTGAGCGTACAGCTGTGCCCTCTTCTCAGGCCCCCATCCCCATGGACAACGGTGCCAATCGATGTCTCGTTCATGGAGAAACAGAGGCAAGGCCCAGGGAACTGACTTGCCCGAGTTCATCCAGCAGAGCCAGGACTAGAACACAGATCAGCTGATCAGCCCAGAGCTCTGCCCCCTAGGCCACCCTGAATGACTTCAGTCTTCCCTGCAGAGGATGCGGGGGGAGGGGACCGTTCCGAGCTGTTCTATGCAGGGAGGAGAAATACTGGACCAGGACGAGGGGCTGCAGTAGGCCCAGGCAGCTGCACCGTTACGGTTTTGGAAGGGGGCTTCAGGGAGCCGGTGTTTCTGCGGCTGGACCAGGACCAGGAAGTAAGGCATCGCACACACCCACTGGTTCTTGTTTAAGCATCAATGCCTGATGTTGGCTCTGCCTGCCCCCAGCCAGGCCTCTGCCCTCCAGCAAGAAAGGTGCAGCCCAAGGCCCTCCCCCTCTGCAATGATCCACGAGACCCCCAGCCATCGGCTGCAGCCATCACCACAGAAAAGCCCTTTATTGTTTCCATCGGCACTCCTAAGGGAAAGGTGAGCGAGAGGGGAGGTCCTCCCAGGCACAAGACCCCGAGGCTGGGGCCCCAGGGAGGATGAGCAGACGGGAAGGAATGTAACCCCCGGCGGTCAGCGCTCACGCGGCCGGAATGGCACAACCGGCTGGGAGTCATTCTCCCTGCAGCTGCAGTGGGTTGGGGCGGGAGGGGGCAGGCTGGAGCAGCCAGGACATTCTCTCTCTCTCTCGCAGCTGCAAGGGGGCTAGTCAGGGCTGGGGAACAGACTCCAGCAGCTTTAGACAGAGGATTGTTTTTCAAGCATTGTAAGGGAGGTAAACATGTAGCGGGGGAGAGGGAGGGTGGGAATAGCTACGTTTGGATCCCCAGTGCTTCCAGGGCACAGTGATAGTTACTGGATTACGTCTAAGGCAGGGAACACGACTGAGCAGGGGGGTTGGTTATAAAGCCTACGTTCACCTTGCTAAATTCCGCACAAGAGTCTCCTTTGCGCAGCGGCTTTCCCGTGCCGGAGCTCAGCTCCGAGCAGGGCTTTCTGGAACGGAGGAAGAAAAGCCCTGCAGCTCTTCTGAGCCAGCAAGCAGGAGGAAAAGTCGGCCGTGTGCACCTCAGGAAATCTAGGCCTTCCCCACCAGTGTGACTGTGCACTGGTTGCTAGTCCCTGGGGAGGCAAACCCTCTGGGACGTACTGGTAAATGGAACATTGGTCCTATGCATGCATGGTACAGATCCTTAACCCAGCTCTGTACCTGACCGCTGTTCAGGAGTTGTGCAAGATGCTGCCACACCATGACATGCTCCACAGTGTTCAGTTACCACAGGGATTAATCCCTTTCATTCCCCCCTCAAATGCAGTGGGAACTAAACACACCCCCGCCCCTCCCCCGGAAAGGTATCAGCACTCGAGTGAAATGTGGAGAAGGGATGCAGATGGCCCTGGCTCATTTCAGACCTTCACCGGGAAAGAGGGCAGCAGAGCATTGCTGGGGTGCCAGGGGAGACGGCAATGACACTTGCTGCCCAACAACCACACAATTCCAACCCTGGAGAACCCGATTTCACGCAGCCGCGGTCGGGGTCAGCGCTCCCCGCCCCTTCCCCCAGCGGCTGCTTATTCGATCAGTTCCACGTAGTTGGCAGGGAACATGCCGAAGTGGCCGTCCGGGCCGTAGCCACGCCACCAGCCCTCGTCGATCATCTCGATGTTGGTGATGATGTTCTCAGGGTCGAAGGAGATCTCCGTGTCGTCGGCTGGAACGAGACAACGGGGGAAGGGCAGAAGCCGGCTGATTGCATATGAGCCACGGGGACCGCTGGTCACAAGGGGAAACTCCCTGTCCCCTAACCCCCCTCTTCCCCTGCGATGGCATTTCTGGGGCCAGGCGTGGAGGTGGCATGAAAGATGCCATCGCTCTGAGCAGTGCGGCATTCGCACTGATGGCCACGGGAAGTCACTGAGTTGTGACGGACGCAGGGCTCCACCGCCCGACTGGATCTGGACCCCGCGCAGGATCTGGGTGGGGCCTTCCCAGGCTACCCACGGAGCCGGGGCACAGGTAGAGAGGTCTCTGTCCGGCGAGTGGGGTGTGTGACACTCAGACCCCGGGGCTGTCAATCCCCAGAAAAGAAGCCACCTACCAGCCTGATAGTCGTACAGCGCTCGGGCGCATAGCCCCTTCCCCTCCAAGTCCGGCTGCTGCTGGTACTCCACAGCATACTCGTATTTGGCATCTTCAAGCTGCTCCTGTGCAGAGGAGGCAGGCAAATGGAAACAGCGTCAGACAGGGAGGAGTTTGCATTTGCTACGGGAGGGCCACGGGCCGGATCCACGTGGGAGCCCAGCGGTCCAGACCAGTGCGTGTGCGGTGCACCCTAGCTCTGTCCCACCGCACTCCAAACAAGACCTGCTACCCAACACCACACACAGATCCCCTCCCCAGGCTCCCCCGTGCACGAGAGGAGCAGGCAGCGGTCTGTTTGGGACCTGCAGCGAGTGATGCTTTAGCGACCGTGCCACAGCGACACCGGACCGACCCAAACGCCCCTTTAGCAGCATTTTATTTATTTAAAATATTTTTACCCTGCCTCCCTATTTAAAATATTCAAGCCAGCTTTCAAAATTTTAAAAACCACAATAAATTCATGGATGTGTGCGCGCGTGCGTGTGTGCACACACAAGTAAAGTAAGGGACCCAAAGGGTGGTCCCTTTGATGCCAAAGGGAACACACTTCACCTTTCACATTTTGCTCTCTGGCCTCAGCAGAACAAGGGGGTTCGCTGCAGGCAGATGCCCTGTGGCTTCTCCAAAGGGCAGCACTGGAACCGCCTGCCCAGTGACCAGCCAGACAGCAACAGCAGAAAGGCGTGGATGGCCATGCGCATTGGACCCCAGCCAAGGTATCCCATCTGGACACAAATCGGGGAGGCAGCAAGGCCCAGGGGTTAGAGCACCAGCCTGGGCTGTCAGAGATGTGGCTCCAAAAGACTCCCTGCATGATCCTGGACAAGTCACTTGTTGGGATAGGTCCCGACAGGAGCCAGCGTCTCTCCTGGGCCTCAGCCATGCGGCTCACAGCACTGCCTTACCGCACGAGGGTGTTGTCAGGACAGATTACCCCTAATCTCTAGTGGGTTTCTGGAGTACTCCCAGGATAGATCAATCTGGGTTACACAAACCCCCTAAAACCAGCACCAGACTGGGTGCCGAAAGAATGTGGGAATCACACAACCGCCGGCTATGGCAAAGCTACTCTGTGTTTCTGAACGGGCACAGGCGCCCAGCGGCAAGGGAGGCGCTTCGCTGTGCCACGCAGGCGATGGAAAGCGCTGACGTGCTAACCATGCAAAGAGAGATTGCGGCACGAGGCACAGGGAGTCTGACGCACGCGGCCGCTGCCCAAGGGAGACGACCTCCCCAGCCTCACTTGCTCAGCTCCCCGATACCAGCCTATGCCACGTTTACCAACCTACCGTACGCAGCTACACTCGATGCTGAGACTTGCAAACCCCGTGTGGGGAAAACTACCACAAATTGGGAATATCTTCTGCTAGACCCACACCTCCCCTTTCCCCCCTCCTGCAGGAGGCACCAGGAGTGGTGGACAAGACGCGTGGACCCCCTGAAGTGCCCCAGTTCGAGAACTGCTGATCTAGCAAATCTTCGCGCAGCTGAGCAGCCTGTTTTCGAAATGAAACCCACCAGGGTGGGGGGCTCTTCGTAGACAGCCGACTCCTCAGGCGGTTCCTCATACAGGGATTCCTCTTCCACTTGCGGGGGGGAGACCGGGCGGGCTACTCTGTACCCGGCGTCCTGCACGGCAGCATCACCTGGAAAGAAACACAGAACACCATGCGGCGTCAATCCCCTCGCGAGCCCGGCTCTCCCTCCCTCCCATCTCAGCCCGCAGAGAGAGGCTGGAGGCACCAGGCCACGCTCAGAGGTGGGGACCGACCAGTGCATCTGGGTTGCCAGCCTGCAGCTCCGGCCACCCCTCTGAGTCGTGGAGAGAGGGGCAGAAGCCAGACTAGCCGGCAGACTGCTCGGAAAGCTCTCCCTGGTGGGGAAGGTGAAGCCACGCACCTGAGCTAGGAGCCGGAGAGGCTGGCGGTGTCTCCTGAGCAGGGGGATGGACAAGGGAGGGTGGATGGAAGTCCTGGGCAGAGGAGTGGACCGGAGAGGCAGGAGCATGGACCGGGCTGCTCTCCTTCTGCAGGAAGGGGCTCCGCAGCTTGCCTGGGAAGGAAGGGAGAGAGACCCGCACTAGGCCTGCCAGGCGAGCTTGTCGGAGAAGAGCACAAATGGCAAGCGCCCGCTTTGCACTCCACCGCCCCGTGCTCGTGAGCGTTCCCGAGGCCTGGCCCAGGGGCTGCCCCTGCCTCCTCCTGCCGCCCCACGACAGCAGAGGCAGAATGTGAGGCAGGGATGTACGGACCCCAGCCTCCTTCCCCCCCCGCTGCAGCGCC